TGATGCGAAATTGAATAGAAACATCAGCTCTCCTAATATCATTGTGGAAAAATTCTTCTTCTACCAATCCTTGATCACCTTAAACGAAATTAGGTGAATACATCTCATATTAAAGTATAGGAGTTGTAGAAGTGGTTTGACCTTGTTGTCGCAACTTGGTCTTGTTGTCAGGGTGACTATGTAGAACGCACCCAGTCCGAAGTCTTCTGCTATTTTAGTTGTCATGATTCCCAGCATCGGACAGTGGACTTAATACATGTCTAGGCATTAACTTCACTTGTCTCTTTGACGAGTTCGTTACTTAGTACGGAGAATGGCAGCACTCACTGATGATGCCAGCGAAACGTTTGAGAATGTATCAAGTCTACTGTCAGATGCTGGGAATCATGACAACTAAAATAGCAGAAGACTTCGGACTGGGTGCGTTCTACCAATTCGCCCTGGCAACAAGACCAATTAGCGACAACGAGGTCAATCCACTTCTATACATCGAAAGGAGACTGCGAGCATACCAGAGGTCGCATCATTTTGGTCTTCATATATTCAATTATATGAGTTGTGTTCATCCCATTTCGGGTCAGTTGACGCAGGACTGGTAGTTGAATAATCCCACGATCATGTGACTAGAGCCTATTCTCCCTTTGACTTTCACATAGCCTTGCTTTTCCTGAAGGTGTTCTCATCCAGCCTGAAGTGGACTGCAGCCTCGACCTCGCATGGGTCTTGTCAACACCTCAAGCGGGAGTCGAATCACTCCGCCTCGTTGCCACGAGTGCCCTTTGATCATAGAGCAGATGTGATTTTCCATTACTTTTTTCATTAGTCATACACCTTATTTATTGGTAGCCTCCAGATCATACTCACTAACAAAAGAGTAGTATCGTCAAGTGCTATGAAAAAATCACATCTGTCCTGTGACCCAAAGATTATTCATTGCACTTTGGTGGAGTCTGGATGGGAAAACCTTTTGATATGCAAGGCCATGTGAAATTGACTCAACTGATTGTGGAAAAAGTCAATTTCCACTCCTTCATGACCTTAAAGGAATTGGGGTGATCACAAATCATATATCGGAGTTAAGGATAGTGTTGAAAACCTACTGACTAACAACAAAATTAAAATAATCTTTTTGTAAATGCTCTTAGCAGCTTCCTTTGATACTAAAATGGATGACCAAGCTATTCGTTGACCTATAAGTGCACTGACGTCAACATACCAACACACACTTAAATGCATGTAGATAGATTAGGGACTATGTTGAATGTGATGAATGTTGGTAGAAAGTTGAGTGAGAACAATTTATGCTTGGCTGATGGATTGCAAGAAAGAGAGAGAGACAGTTGAGCTGCGTCCAAACGAAGACTACTCCAAATGTCAACTCAGTGATGATTCTAGCCTCACTCACACTCGTCCAACCAGA